CAGCTTATCCATCTGTTCCTTAGCATGTAGTTGATCCAGTTACGGAGCACCCGGTCAACATAAAACTGGTCTAGGGATTGGATAAGGGTATCAGTGTGCACGTTATTGAAAGCGCCTTCGATGTCAATGCATACTGCCAGTGTATACAGTTTGCTATCGAAAGATTCACCTATGTAGTGGACAACTTCATTTAAAGCGGTTTCCACCGATCGTCCCTTTACATAAGCATGTTGCTTATATTTAAGGTCATTGTATGGTATGCTGCTTTTAACCATGCTATCGACTATCCGTTCCAAGGTTTTAAGTAGGAAGGACGTAAGACTTATCGGTCGATAGGACTTAGGTGTCGCATAGCTAGGTTTCCCTGGTTTGGGTATAAATATTACCCTTGCATCCTGCCATTTAACTGGGGTATATGCCAATTTTAAGCATGCAGTGAATATCTGTGACAGATGTACGGAAACCAGTCCCGCCTCCATCTGCAAAAGTGCCGGGAAAATTCCATCCGGCCCTGCAGCTTTATAGGGAGCAAAGCTCTTGATTGCCCCTTTAACCATGTCAGTTGTAATAACTATTTCCGTGTTACCCTCCCCTTCCTCCAATATCGGTTCATCTATGTTATTCGATATACCGGGTGGGAAATGAGAATCCATTAGGAGTTTCATTGTCTCCTCCATATCCTCAAGCCTCCTGCCCGTGTCATCGATCATAGATTCCGGTTGGACATGAGTTTTGGATAGGAATTTTTTTATCTTCGATACGTCATTTACGCTATCTACCTGTTCACAGAAAAGTTTCCAGGAGTCTCGTTTGGCTTTTCGAACGATTTTCTTATATTCACCAAGTTTATTACGATACTCATCCCAGTATACTGCGGTCTTTTTACGCCGTGCCCGGTTAAATAGTTTGCGAAGAGTCTTCCCAAGGTTCCGGATCTCCCCAGTTACCCAGGGTTTTTCCTGGGCAGATCTCCGCTCTCGCAGAGGGCAGCTGTCCTCGAACGATTCAACCAGGGCACTTGTGAACGTTTCCACTTTGGCATCTATATCCTCTTTATTTCGACATTGAAAAGTGTCCTGACCTAAACGGTTCTTTAGTAAGGTCCCGAACATTGTCCAATTAGTTTTAGACTTATTCCGAAACTTTATCGGCTTTGGTGGTGGCCTTAGTATTTTGAATCTTATGTACCGATGATCAGAAAAGGAGTGCTCGTCCGAAACTCTCCAATCCTGAATTTCGTTTATAAGCTCTTCTGAACATATAGTTATATCTAATACTTCTTCTCTGATTCTATTGACGAAGGTAGCTTTATTACCTAAGTTCAATGTTATCAAGTCTTTAGTATTAAAGAAATCCATGAGGGCTTGTCCCCTGCGATTGGTGTTTGTACTACCCCAAGCTACATGATGCGAGTTGGCATCACAACCTATTACAATTTTCTTATTTTTCCTTTGTGCCTCTTCAACCAGTTTCATCAGATCCGACGTTGGTGGTAGTGTCGGAGAATCGAAAGGTAGGTAAATAGATGCAAGGAATATGTTGCCACGACCTTGCTTCAGCACCGTTGCATCCGATGTTGATAATCCTGTTGAGAGGAGAAAACATAAGTTCTTGTGACATAAGATACATGTTCTCGGGCGAGATCCTGTATCAGCGTAGAAAAGTTGGAAATTTACGTGATTTAATCCAGAAACCTTGTTGCGAATCGTCCAAGGTTCCTGGATTAAAGCTATATGTATTTTACCTGTGTTGATTTTAGCCATCAGAGCGTTGGTAGCTGTCTCGCTCCGATGGAGGTTTATTTGGATAACCTCAATCATGGTCATCCATTAAACTGTCTTCCAGCGAGTTGGTGGTCACCTCCTCGCTCTTTGGATTTGACTCCTCCGGATAGCCTGAAGTGGCTATTAATGCAGTGAGTACTGTAGATGGCACTGCGGTGTCCTTATCAGGCATAGGAATAGCAATATTTTTAATAGACACATTCCCAATTCTGGAGAGCATTGCTGTTCTGTCTTCTGGCGGGTGAGTGATTTCCTCCTCGCTTTTAGGATTTGACTCCTCAACATTGCTAGTACTTGCTAATGATGCTTTGGGTACTGTCTTAGGTGTTTTAGTGTCCTTGTCGGGGCCGGTTTTGACAGCCCTTTCAATCGGCGCCTTCCCAATTTTGGAAAGGGCAACTACACTTTCTTCTGGCGAGTTAATGGTAAATTCCTCGATTTTAGGATTTGACTCCTCAACGTTATCAGTAGTGGATACTGATGCTGTGGTCTTAGGTTTTTTAGTGTCCTTTTCGAGGCTTGTTGTAACAGCCCTTCCAATCGGCACCTTCCCAATTTTGAATATGACAGATTTAGAGGCGAAGTAAGCCCTACCTTTATTCTTGGCAAGACTAGCCATGGATTTCTGGTCGATACCTATTACAAATAAAGTTCCCTCAGGTTCTTCTTTCCTGTAAAAGACATCCCATTTTTCCACGGCCAGCTCAGCATTTTGACCTCCAAGAATTTCCAGTATACGTTCATTAGCCAGTTTACTGCCCCATCCTTTTATGTAGACAGTGGACTTTAGGAGCACCGGAAGCTCGCTCTTCTTTGCCAGTCCCAGCCTAGCGCCGTCCCAGGGAGGAGGGATACTTTCCACCAAGTTCTTTAGGGTGCTAACACATTGGTGAGATGCCAACCTCATCAACATCACGCCCATGCTGAACTCGCAGCTCTCGCTCTCTATTGGTTGTTTGCCCTTTGAAGCGATTGCATGGTCCACTATCTTATTGTTGACCAGGTCTTCTATTTTACTCTGTTGGTCTATTGGAATTTTGCCTGTCGGATTACCGGCATCGTAAACTGCATAGCAGAGATCGTCCCGGTGCCTACTTCTGGCAACTTTGGCGTAAGATGGCGGCTCTTTTCCTTTTCCTCCGTCTAGCTTCTCCTTCCTCGTTTTTCGGGGCTTCTTTTGAGATTCCCTTACCTTCGAGGTTGATTTCGCCGACGTGTTCGTCTTCGGAATATCTGGCTTGGCGTTGTCACCCTTACTCGCAGGATTCTCACTTGAGATTCCTTTGAGTGAAGTATGGCTTGGCTTCGACTGTGTATTAGAAGACGGGGAGCTCTTTTTCTTCTTAGGTTTATTCTCAGTTGTCAACTCCTCGGGAGACCTGATCCTTTTTGCCTCAGATCTTGTGAGAGAGTCCGATTTTTCCTTTGGAGTGTCGTGGGATTGACTAACTATGATTTCTTGAAGCATCTTTTTCAACTTCCTCCTCTGTGCTCCAGAAAGTCTTTTCTTAGTAATAGGTAGTTTAGCTATGCTATCACTCACCTCTTTCACCATTTGCTCTACTTCATCCTTTTTGGGATTTGCTATAATGGTATTATTTTTATTATCATCTGAGGATTCAGAGTCGGAACCCTCACCTATATTTAAAGGCTGAGGTAGCTTAGAGCTCTCTCCGAGTACATCCTTCTCTTTCACCCCTATATTTTTGCCAGCGGCATGCTGTACACTTGACGCATTGTCCGCCACGGAGGCCAAGGTACCCACCTCCGTAGTAGTATTCTGCTCACGATTGCAGGATGACGACGACACGTGACTCGCGAGTAGATCAACACTTGCCGCCGGTACTGGGTTATTTAGGCCCTGCACCGTAACTTTTATCTTTTTATTTTTATTTTCCATATTTGTTTTTTTTTTTTTTTTTTTTTTTTTCCAGTTTTTTGGTCCGCGGGGAATATAATATTCCCAGGTGGTGGACAATCTGCCCTCCCTCAGCTTAAGTGAAATTAAAGCTGGGAGAGGACAGATGGTCCATCACCACCCCCTATCCGCCACCCGGGGACGCGCTCGGTAGGAAAAATCTGGAAAACTCCCCCGAGAACTAACTAACTAACTAACTAACTAACTAACTAACTAACTAACTAACTAACTAACTAACTAACTAACTAACTAACTAACTAACTAACTAACTAACTAACTAACTACTAACTAACTAACTAACTAACTAACTAACTAACTAACTAACTAACTAACTAACTAACTAACTAACTAACTAACTAACTAACTAACTAACTAACTAACTAACTAACTAACTAACTAACTAACTAACTAACTAACTAACTAACTAACTAACTAACTAACTAACTAACTAACTAACTAACTAACTAACTAACTAACTAACTAACTAACTAACTAACTAACTAACTAACTAACTAACTAACTAACTAACTAACTAACTAACTAACTAACTAACTAACTAACTAACTAACTAACTACCTAACTAACTAACTAACCGCGAACCGACTGCTCCCAAATGTATTGGGGCTAGGCAAAAATTTAGCCGATGCTTATAATATTTAGTGGCGGGATTTATGTTTATATAAAAGTCATTCGTACTGAATTTCATCGTGATAGTAAGGTTTATAAGTGAATTCTGGACATTCAAATCATTTTCTGAATGGGACTTTTTATGGGGCCTAGGGTCAACTAAGGCCCGATCATTACGAAAATTGCCAGTGTTATTTATAATTATATCAAACTTAATTTTGCTGATTTTTCGAAAGATAGAAGTATATTTGACGTAGTTATGAGGTAAAAGGCCAAGTCGAAAGTTACGGTTATATGGGGGCAAGGGCAAAACTTGGTCCGATCCTTCTTAAATTTATTGTCGGGATTTATGTTTCACTCTTATAAATTTTTGTTTAAATTTACACTATTTATTGTAGGTAACCAGACTCCTAGTATAATAAGTGTAAAAATACACGTTGAAAAGTATTCAAAAATTTTAAACACATTGTATGTAAAAATAATTGAAACAAATTTTTTATTTTTACCTATTTATGTGTTTAAAAATGTTTAGCATCATTTCAGTTTTGTTTAAATTTAAACACTCTGTGCCTAAAAAAACAATTTCTATATGTAAATTTAAAACTATATTGTTTAATACTACATGGTAAATATGTATATATAAACATATAGAAAATTTAGCTGTAAACCCCTTTACTTTTATTTTTAATAGTTTTGTATTTATTTATTAGTTTAAAGAATTGAGAATATAATGCATAAAAGTACGAAAATTTATTGATTTAACAGTTATATTAGTTCCACATTGACTTCAACAACTATTTTTTCTTGAATTTCGGGTCTTCTCTTTTCTTTGGACAATTCTGTAGGTGGTTATAATTTGTTATTATTTATTTTTAATTTATATGCAATTTCGTGTCAAGTGACCCAATTTATAAACTCGATTTAGATGAAACATGCACCAAGGTTAGTACTATTGGATTAGAATGGTTCAGAGTTGGATAATTTGGTCATACAGAGTTTTTTTTTTTTTTTCAAATGAGTCTAAATTTCACCTATTGGCCCTAGCAAAAATTGTCCATAGGACTTTAGATAGCTATTTCTTCAATCGGAAAACATCGATTTTAGAAGTTGGGTCACTTGACACGAAATTGTCCATATATTTAAATACAAATTTATACTTACGAAAGCCTTAATTGATAAATTCGTGCAAATTATTCATTATTTGTTGTTGGACAATAGCATCTTGATTTAAAAAGGAACGTAATATGTATTTTTATTGACCACCTATTATTTCAATGACAACCCCGATTCTAAAACATTTTTCGCAAATTTTTGAGGGACCTTTATAGACCAAAATTATTCAGCATAAGATCTGTAGATTTGATTATGACATCTGCATACATATGAGCTCAAATGCAATATATTGCTTTTGTATATGTCTTACGTTCTTTTTCGAAAAACTTATTGCGCGGTCACTTCTATTCGAACATTAATTTAATTTATTTCTCAATAATAAAATCTAAAAGTAATGTGTCTTTTCGGCAGCTTTTTATATTTCAAAAAATAACATTTTGACAAATTTTTTATTCCTTTAAAAATATGTACATTTAAACATTTTTTGTTTAAAAAATATTTTTAAGCACACATCATGTAATTTTAAATTTAAAAAGTTTATTATATTATAAACATGTTGACAAAAATATAAAATACAGCAATTTGTATTTATTTTTACTGGCAAAAGTGTGTAATTAGTTTCAATAAACATATTTTGCTTAATTTTACACATTTTCTGTAATTTTCCTTAAATACTTACATACTTCTTAAGAGTAAATTTACATGCATTTTTTAGAGTGTTATATAAAACTTATTTGTGACAAATTTCATCGTCATACTAGTGTTTATAAGTGAATTATGGACATTCAAGTCATTTTCTGAAGGGGACTTTGTATGGGGAACATCACCAGAATTATTGAGACTTATATAAAACTATGTTTTGCCAATTTGTGTAGGGATAGTAGATCATTTAACATACTTATGAGTTCAAAAGCCCTATTCTGAGGTCCGGTTGTATGGGGGCTAGGAGAAACCATGGACCGATTTCAAGCATTTTCTATAGCGATCGTCCTTGGGACAAAAGAAGCGCACGTTACAAATTTCATCAAATTATCTCAAAAATTGCGATCTCTAGAGTGCACACAACGTTTACATGGACACACAGACAGATAGACGGACGGACAGATAGACGAACATAGCTGAATCGACTAAGGAAGTGATTTTGAGCGGATTGATATAGCACCAATATTTTTGGATGTTACAAACATCAGCACAAAACCATAATACCCTCCCCACTATAGTGGTGTAGGGTATAAATAGTAGTAGCTTTTAAACTCATTATTATTCAATGTAAAGTTTTTGCTGGGATTATATAGCTTTTAAATATCCTCTATTTGTTTAATAAACACTCCTCAACACTTTAGCATAATACAACCAGAATTGTTTTCCAACTGTTCTTTTGTGTTAAATTAACAATAAAATACCTGTCTGGAATTTTTAATCTCTGAACAATTTCTTTTTAACAATTGCAATTTAAAGCAAATAATTAAGAAAACTAAAAGCATTAACTTGACCAAAAGCTAAGTGAAAAAAATGATGACAACCAAGTGTTAAGATTGGAAAGAAGCAAGCTAAAAGCAGTTAAAATTCAAAAAATTAAATATTATGTTTCAAATAAATATATTTTCATTAAAACAAAAATGGTATGCAAAAAAATTATACTACCGATTAATAGTACTGTAGAAGAGTCCAAGAAATGTACATATGTATGATTACTTATCGCACTCATATCTTTAAAATGAAAATTGTGTTTTGACAAGAAACCATGACATATCTACCCAGCAAAAAATCTGAAATTTTTGGTAATAGCCAGTAGTTATTTCATATATTACTTGGTAATGAGTGTTCATTATCATCCACATTATTTCATTTAGCTGAATAGGTTATTACTGGTAAAGAACAAAACAATTTGGATTTGTTATGGCTCAATTGTCTAGGTCGTTCATTTAACAAACAGGGGGTTCGTGGTTCGAGCCCTGCTGGATACTGTTTATTTTTTTTTTCAAAATGACATTCATTTATATATTTTTGTAAAAAGCCGTTCTCAAAATTACAAAAAGCAACATGTTAATGGAGCATAGAGTAAGCGGCTGGAGTGAGAAACATAGAAAACAACTGAATGCCTGGGTTCAAATCCCGGCAGAGGAATTTTTTTATTTTTTGTTTTCTACATACAAAGTCGGCCCAAAATAACTAGCTATAACATAACATATTTGTAGGTTTATTTGTAACTAGTTATTTCGCAAAGTTTTTGTAATCAAATTAGTAACCATTTATTAATTTGTTTAAGGTAGGTACATTTTATTTGAACCTCGCCGAACAAAAATAATTAGTTATTCACCCCAAAAGTAATTAGTTTCCACGTGATTCCAATATTACTTTCTAGATTACTAGGTAATGAAAATTTTTGCTGGGTATGCATTTGCCAGTCCAAGAAAAACTGACTATCTTCCTTATACAAACAATTTAAATAAAATTCATAAACATTTTATTTTATAAAAGGTTTTCAAACCAAAATTTCCATCTAAATTTGATTTATAAAACATAAATGAATAAGTCCTAAAATATACAACCATTTTAAAATGAATGGCAATAATTTGTATCTGTTATTGACTGATAATTACGTTATATTTTAATAGCTAAAGAAATTGTCAGAACATTAATTTTACCAAGTACTTGGAAACAAAATCAATTTCAAATTACTTTGTTTTAACAAAAATTTAAATACAAATTCATATGTAAATATGTATGTACATTTAAAATTCACAGAATGTCAGTAATTTAACGATGTTGTTAATTTCAAAATGCCTTAAGGACACTTCATAAAATCTTCCGCTCGAAGAATTTATTTGTAAATGTTTAATTAAAGCAATATGTGGTGTATAGGTGCTACTATAAGGGTATGCGAAGGGAAAATTGTAAATGTTTATGTAAAAACAAAATTAAGTAAATTTTTGATGTAAATCACGTACATAGCAGAAGTGCCACTTTGGGAATCAAAAAGAAATTCTTTAGTTTAAGTTAAGTAGATTTAGTGAATTTAATTATTGCGTTATTTCCATAAAGTTTTAAAATCTTTATGAACTTCGGTCTATTCCTCAAAGTGGTTTCCTGTATTGACGTGAATATTAAGATTATATTTATATCCACTATTAAAAAACGGTGGTTATATTGATTTTGTCATTCCGTTTATAGCATATAGATAAATTGGTCGGAGACCCACAAAGATATGTATATTCTGAGTCCTTAATTAATTCTAGCCCCTTCCGTCTGTCTGTGTCTGTCTGTGTCTGTCTGTGTCTGTCTGTGTCTGTCTGTGTCTGTCTGTGTCTGTCTGTGTCTGTCTGTGTCTGTCTGTGTCTGTCTGTGTCTGTCTGTGTCTGTCTGTGTCTGTCTGTGTCTGTCTGTCTGTGTCTGTCTGTGTCTGTCTGTGTCTGTCTGTGTCTGTCTGTGTCTGTCTGTGTCTGTCTGTGTCTGTCTGTGTCTGTCTGTCTGTGGTCTGTCTGTGTCTGTCTGTGTCTGTCTGTGTCTGTCTGTGTCTGTCTGTGTCTGTCTGTGTCTGTCTGTGTCTGTCTGTGTCTGTCTGTGTCTGTCTGTGTCTGTCTGTGTCTGTCTGTGGTCTGTCTGTGTCTGTCTGTGTCTGTCTGTGTCTGTCTGTGTCTGTCTGTGTCTGTCTGTGTCTGTCTGTGTCTGTCTGGTGTCTGTCTGTGTCTGTCTGTGTCTGTCTGTGTCTGTCTGTGTCTGTCTGTGTCTGTCTGTGTCTGTCTGTGTCTGTCTGTGTCTGTCTGTGTCTGTCTGTGTCTGTCTGTGTCTGTCTGTGTCTTGTCTGTGTCTGTCTGTGTCTGTCTGTGTCTGTCTGTGTCAGTCTGTGTCTGTCTGTGTCTGTCTGTGTCTGTGTCTGTCTGTGTCTATCTGTCTCTGTCTGTGTCTATCTGTCTCTGTCTGTCTGTGTCTGTCTGTGTTAAATACTTTACAAATAAGTTTTTGAGTTTTTATAAACATTGATTTAGGTTCTAAAAGGTTAAAATTTATAAACATATAAATAATAAGTTTCATTAATTGTAATTGTATCCTTTTCTCTCCTTTATATGAAATTTTACTTTATTGATCATATTAAAGCAAAGAATCAATACATTGTAAAAGGTATGTACTAATTTTATTTGGGGAATATAAAAATTTACTTTCTTCTGTTCAGTACATATTCTACTATGGCATGTATTGTAATATAATATTGTTATGACACTAACTCAAAATAAAACTAAGCACGTTTCATGTACCTACTTCAACACACTGGATTTGCTATGAAGTCCAAATTATGTTCAAAGAAACTTAAAAATATTGCAACAAGAGATGTGAATTTAAGTAATAATCCACACACGTATTATGTTCGTTCATACTACACTCATGGACTAGTATGCATCTAATACAATGTTAAAATTTGTGTGACATGTGGTAAATGACTTGTATAATACATACATATGTATGCATGTGGTTTAGAAGCTACACTTGCAACAATGTTACAAACTCCAAAGTGGACACTGGGACTTCATTTATATTGTGTTTAGCAAATTAGGAAAGATTTTACTAAGATAAACTTAACAACCAACGCACATATTGATTTTGTCATTCCCTTAAAAAACTCAATGTACTATAGCCCGCAAAATCTCGTTAATGAATTGTACTTGCACAACAACTTACTTTTCTTGTAGCTATTATCATAAAGAAGAAAAATTGTGAACGTAAAAAACAAAAAACTTCAAGATCAAAAATAGGAAAAACAAAATAGAGTGCTATATTCGGCTGAGCCGAATCTTAAATACCCTCCACCAGCTACTTTTATATTAATACTTTTCTAATTAATCAAATATTTGTAGAAATAAGTCTTCTCATGCCTTAAATAGAAAAATCCCAAGATTTAAACAGCTTAGATCTATTACAATTCCAAGATTTATTGAACATTATAAACGCCATTTTCTTTTATATTTTTATAGTGCTTAGCAATATTTAATAATTTGCATGTATGCATGTGTGGTAAAGATTTAAGGATTTTGAAAATACATACATATATATAATTTTGTTCTACACAAATTGATAATGCAAATAGTTAAATAAGGGGCTTTTAGGGGCAGTTCCTAGTATGGGAGATAAGATCAATTATAGACCGATCGCAAAAAATTCTTTAAGCTAAATTTCTGTACATAAAAGCTATATTTCAGTCAAATTTTGTATCTATATCGTAATTTAGTATAGCTTTATTTGGTAATGAGTAATGTGCGTTTAAGAGATTTTCGTAAAAGGAGCTTGTATGGGAGCTATTACCAATTGTGTATATAAAGACATATTCTGTATCTACATCATTATTTGGTAATGAATATTGTTCATCTAAGTGATTTTCTGGAGGGATCCTAGTATGAGAGCTATGATCAAATATGGACCGATCGGGAAATTTCACAGTAATATTTCCATGCATATGGGCAATACTTATACCAAATT